AATTTTTAATCCCTCGATACGATCCATTTGCTCGACCCTTCGTGGCCCCACTGTTTGGGACCCCTGAGTCCAATTTCTTTCTTTCTTTTCGCGGATACGAGATTTATTGTTGTTTATATATTATTATTAAAGGATGAATTTGTAATAAGTTTGGATACAAGTTTTTAATCTAGAAGATGAGATAATTATTATCATTATTATTAAACATATCTTTAAAAAATAAATGACTTTATGTTCAAATTTAGAATTTTACATATTCTTGCTTCTAACATGATGATTTTCAAATATCATCATTTTTTATATATTTAAAATTTGCGTAAACTTGAACTATGAACTATAATATAATAAATCCTTCTAATATTCTTAAACAAAATCATAAATGTTCAATTTGAAGTAAACTTTTAACTCGGAATCTAATTAAGATTCTTTAATAAAAAAGAACTTTCAAAAATTTAAGAAACGTTCAACGCATATTAAAACAATTCTTCGATACTTTCGATAAAAAAAAAAGAGAGAGAGAAAGAAAATTCGAGATTAACAAAAGAGGAGGATGGATAGAATTCAATTAGGAATTTTCGTGGAGAAATAACACGTATACGTTGTCTCGTGTTACAACAGACAAACCAGGCCCAGCCTCGATCTCGTACGAGCCCCAGCAGGTAATAAAGAAACGGCCGTTGACCATCACTTGCTTCGTGCTCGATCCAGGACGTCCGAAGGTGACCGGGTTCAAATGGCTGCGAGGGCTTCACAGACTTCCGGATGAAAACAACGCCACCCTCACCATCGAATCGGTTAATTTGGAAACCGAGGCGAACTTCACTTGTCTGGCTTACAACGAAGCCGGCGACGGCGATCCAGCTACCACGTTTATCGACGTGTCCGGTGAGTTGTAAAGTTAGTCGAGAAAAACTTTCTAAATTCCCCATCGAGTATAAATCCTCCCCTCGCGTGACGTTCATTCCCCTTCGAGATTCGTGCACACGAGATAAGGGAAATCTTTGGGAATTTGGAGAATGCGGTTGAATAAGCGAAGAAAGAGAGTTTCTACTTATTTTTTCTTCTTCTTCTTCTTGTTTTTTTAATATCTAGAATAGAATGGAATAGAAATTGTTGAAATTATCGATTTACTTGAAAATTTATAAAAGTACGCTTTTCCTTTTTCATTTTTCTATTTTATTGATGTTAATTATTAATTGTACTTTTATATTTAATTTTGGTATGAATATAACGTTACTTTTTGTAAGTATATGTCTTGTACCTTGCGTATTACGTACGGCTGATCGTACGTTGACCGTTTCTACTTGCTTTCTGTCTCATTTCACTTCCTCATACTTTTCTCTCGTTTATTTATCAAACGATCAAACTTCTTCTTTCTGATTGAAATATTCGTCGAGATATTCTCAATTTATTAATTTTACTCGTTTTCTCTCGAATTGTAAAAAGAGTTTACAAGTTTTTCCCTCCCAAAACTTATTAGAAAGACAATATAACGTAAAAATATTTCTGAAAAGAAAATAAAGTGTATCGTAAATCATAACATTCGGGAACGGTTAAAATTTTTACAATCTGGAAACGTGTATAAAAAAAAATGTAGCAAGATGTATTAAATAAAAGGGGACGTGTTATTACTTTTGTATTTGGGAGAAAAAGGGGAAAAATAAATTTATATAAAGGATTTCCGTGACACATACTTTCCGTGCTGTATCTAAATTAACGATTCGTATCTTGAAAACTGTGTAAACTTTATTCTTTATCTCTCCTTTTATTTCTCATTTATTTAATTCATATATATATATACATATGTATGCGGCGACACGCATTGCATTATACTTATGCATTTTGCATAATAATAATCCGCTATTATCTATATATATACGAAGGCTTTATTTGATGCGTATTTTCATGATGAAAGCAATAGTAATATTTCACTTCACTTCACAAGAGAGTAAGCAACGACTATTGCTCGATAAATATTCATGCTCGGATAGAACGTGTATCTTCTTATTAATTTTTATCGAGTCTTCGAGATCAATAAACGGGAATCTATTTATTGAAAAGATTTAATCCTTTTTCAATTCTTCTAAAGAATAATAAAAAATTGTATTGATGATGAGATTTATTTCATTTCACGATTTCTTTTAAACACAAATTTTAATCAAATCTAAATAAAAGATACATAAATACACGTTTTACAATTTTTATTCATATAAATTGAATTATAATCCTTTTCATAATCGTAACAAGATGATCGTTCAAGAAATCACCTAATTACAGACATTTAAAAATTTGATACAATCAAAGTCCCTTAGGATCATCATCACGCGCCTAAATATCTGAGAAAACTCATCAATTCGCATCGTGTCACGTCCTTATCTCGTTCTACCCTTGCACAATGCCACCCCTTGCGCCGAGAACCGGGGGGTTGAACTTGTTCTTTGATTGTCAATAGCGGCGCCAGCGTTTATCAAGAAGCTCCTCCCTTATCACGGCTACGTGTACAATTCACCGAACGTTAGCATCATGTGCTGGGTGGAGTGCGCCCCAATGTGCAATATCTCGTGGCTGAAAAACGGTGTCCCCATGGACTTCACGAAAACAAATCGATACTACCTGATGAACGTTCTTCATCCCCCTGATCCGCGAACGAACGACTTCGAGAGCATACAATCGACCCTGGTTTGGAATCTGACCGCCTGGCCCAGTGGACAACTCGACCGTGTCGAGGACAACGTTAAATTCACCTGCGAGAGCAGCAGCAACGGGATTGGATCCGGGGTGAAGAGTAGCACCCACTTTCACGTCGAATGTAAGTTTGATTTTTTTTTTTATCTTTGGTTGTAATTCTAAACTTTTTATCAATCTTTTTAGATCGATCAAATTATATATCATAAAATACACGAGTTAATAATTTTTAGTTATTAAGAATTGTATATATTTTATAATACAAAGTATATAATTTCAATTTTAATATTGATGTAAATATTGATATGAAAAATTATTGATAAAATTTGGAGATAAGTTTCAAAGTACATTGCAAAGTCTTGATGATGTCGACATTTCCTCTCTCAATAACAAAAATGATTATTCGATACTTATTCGACTTCCTGGTTTAATCGATGTTTACGTTCAACAACGCTTCTGTATATATATATATAGAAATACGGCTACTTTATCCATATCTTTATTCGTTCGACAGTTCCACCGGAAAATATGACGATATCGAAGAAGATAATAGACGTTACCGTGGATACGATACCGGAAACGGTGACCTGTAACGCGAAGGCGCTTCCGGAACCGACTTTTCGCTGGTTTCGGGAAGGTTCCACGGACATTATAGTCGAAGGCCGCGTTCTCGACCTGAAAGTGCCGATTCCTAGGCGAAGCAACGGTACCTATTACTGCGAGGCATCGAATCGTCATGGAACCAAGAACATCTCCATGATCATGAATGTTCAATGTAAGTAAAGAAAGTAAGTCTCGAGTAATGTTCCAATATCGAGAGAAAGATTTATTTCCTCTCGATCGATCGAGCACTCGAATTTCTTCAGAGTGAATCAATAGAAACGAAAAAAGAATGATATACATTTTCTTTATTAGAAAATTTAATTATTTTAATATTGGATATCTTCATACGAGATTTTTTTACTAAGAAAAACAATTTTTCGAAAATATTTTCTGCCAAACTTAAGATTTCTCTAAGATATTGTAAAAAAAAAGAAAAATATAAAACTTATATCGTCTATATATATATATGTATATTTCGTGATTTTTAATTTGCATTATTAATCTGAACTCTGACACGAATTCATTTTCCGTTTATATAAGTAAATGTCAGAAATATTTCAAATAATATCAAAAAGTCTTTAGCACGAGACAATATCTTAGAATCGTAGAAGATATATCCAATATGTATATATATAGATTCATTCGGGCAAAATCAAAGTAAGCCGAGCCGCTGTTCCCTTCGTGTGCAGTTAAGCCAGAGTGTCACGTGGAAAGGGAGCGAATAGACGGAGAGGATTACGTGGTGTGCTCGGCGATGGCCAATCCGAAGGAGACCGATTTCGTTTGGTCGTTGAAGAGTGACAATGACACGTTGGAGCAGATCGCCGTTGCGCGCAATGGGAAAAGCTACATCCGCCTCGATACATCGGTAACCAATTTCCGGACGTATGTTTGCGTTGCGAACAACTCCATCGGCTATTCCAGCCCTTGCGACCGTGACGTGCCAGGTATGCGTTCGCACACTTTTCTAACGTTTTCCATTACGCCTAATGATTTATTCAGATTTAAGTAGAGATTGTGTAGTAAAGTTATCGAAACGATAACTTTATGGAAGAAGGGTTGAAGGATTGTATTTTAATTATTATTTGAATCTTTTTTTTTTTTTTTATCAAAACTAAAGAAAATTTAATTTTCTATTCTCTTGTATATCGATGAACAAATGTTGAAAGATAAGTTTCATCTCAATTTGATGATAAAATAAGTGTGATAAGTGTAAGGTATTAATATTTGTTATAATCGAATAATTTCTTTGATAATTTTTAAATTAATAGGGAAATTAGAAAATGTGTTTATGCTATTTTTTTTTTTTGGATATATGAATTGTTAATAGTTTTTTGATGATCAGATTTAAATTTTTAATAATTTTGCAAGAAATATATGATGATATACGTTTTAAAAAATGCGTTTTGCGAATTAATAATGAAAATTAAGAAAATTCCATTCTTAACTGCTGCGAATTTTTAAGGAGAATGGATTCCTTCGTCATTTTTTTCTCTTATGATATCAACATTCCCATCATGGTTCTTATATTATATTGTCTGGCTGTAATTCTCTTCTTCCCTAAAGAAAAATGCTCGAGATCTGAAAAAAGAAATGCTCGTGATATTCGAGAAACATTTTCTAACCTCTTAAAAAGTACCAGAACACGAGTAAGTTTATTAATGCATCATTTTCATTCGAACGATATTTTTATAAATTTTTTGTTCATTTTTAATAAGTAAATAGATAAGTAATTAACGAGTAATGATATAAATATTTGTAAGAAATATAAAATCATTTTTTAAATGAATTATAACGATATGATTAAAAGTTTGAGTAAATTGTTTAATGATCATGATATGTACTTCACATAAATTTCAAATGATCCTTCGATATTATACAAAGATGTAATGCAAAATTAGAAAAACGAGATTATTTTATATGCTAATATTAACAAATGATTGGCTCGTACACTTAAAACGTTTACAATCTTTAAGCGTATTCATAAATCAATCGTCATAAATTAATAAATAATCATTTTAAAATTCGAAAGAAAATTATCTGATAATGCAAATTTTTCATTTAACAAAGCAATTTAAATCTCTACACCGAGATTTATTTTTTTAGATAAATAAGAAAAAAAATAAATGAGAAAAAGTACGATAATTTTCAATTTACATATTATAATTGTAAAGAAGTTAGATTGATTCAATATTTTCATATTTTCTTCTTATAGCATACAATTTCTAGTCTCCTTCCTTTTTTCCTTTTGAAAAATTTTAATGAAACTATTTATTCGAAGCGTTTCCAATTAACCAAATTTTTACTTCTTGCGATACTCCATGATCAAGCTACGAGAAGCAACGAACTCGAGGCGAAACACATTTTTCCATGTCTGGTTGGATATCCAACGCGAACATTTGACTACGAACTTCGTAAATTAGATTTCCCTTGAATGCCTGTTAAATTCGAAAGTCTAATTTATCCTGGTTTAAATCGGATTCGTTTATTTGATTTGTACCTTCCATTAATTATAGCAGTTTATTTTATAACGTCAAAACGATGGTAATTATTTCTCGTGCGGTTGATACGCCTGAAAATGATGGCGCCACTATCCAATATAAACAGTAAGAGAGTATATAACAATAATTAAATAAATTGTTAATCAAAATTTTCTTTTTCTTTTTTTCATTTGTTAATTATTAAATTAATAAGTTAAAACATGAATTTTAATATTAATCAATAAGATTTAGAAGAGATATGAATATAAATTATAAAATATATAATAATAATTCAAAGTTCGTTCGTGTGATACTTATTCTCATAACTCTTAAAAGTATTATTATTTGTTTCCAAAAAAAATGCAACAATCTGAGTATATGAGTATACGAACGATTAAATTTATAATAAACATTTTCCTGGTCAACTAATAAAATTTTCATAATAATAGCTTCATTGTAATCTCGTAATTTAGCATATTGAGAAAAGTAGATACAAAATAGCATGAGTATATATAGATACACACATATATACAGATTCTCGAATATTATTAAAATTATTTTTCATGAATATTTGATAATAATATTTAGCATACATAGTACTCTTTTTATATTATATACTCTTTGTTTCTTGTTAGCTCACCATGGACATCGAAGTAAGTTTTGCTATTATAATTATTATATTAAAGAATATATTTTTAAAAAAATATCAGTTTTTCTATAAATGAAATCCTAAAATACGAATAATAAAATAAACTTTATCAATATATATTTAAAAATTAGATTTTTTTTCTAATACAAGAAAGTTCAAAGGGGATTAAAGGCAACTTAAAAATAAGCAGGACTATAAAAAATAATCTCGATTACGTTGTTTTTTCTTTTCGAGAGGAAAAAGAAGTTTTATGGGTTGCTTAGCTTCAAAAATATTTCATCGGGTTGATTACAATGGAGCACCCTGTATAAGCGCATAAACTCCAGTAATAAAGGCTTCTGGTAAAATATTATAGATCGAGGAAATGGATTAAATCTAAGCAGAAATATGAAAAGCTTTTCTCGAGGATTGGTAGACTTGTTCTCTGTATTAATATTTCGGATATTTGAATTGTAATTTCGTAAAATAAAGGGGAAAATTCATCCCATGAAAACTCATTGTTTCTAATTTTTCGGAAAAATTTTTAAAGTTCTTGATAAAATTTTCAATCTATCGGATTTAAATTGTAAATTGAACGAATATAATTTAAAAATTTAGAGAACTCTTTTAATTTCAAAAATTTCTAAAATTTTTTAATGGAAATTTGTTAGAATCATACAATTTACAAACTTTTCAACTTTTACAAACTCTCAAAAATTTCAAAATTATTTTTTACGGTATTTGACATTTTTTATGATTTTAATAGTCATTGTATTTAAAAAATTGTTACGTGCAATATTGAAAATTGAGGAAAGAAGAAATTTTCTTATTTCGTAGTAATTTCTGGAATTTAATACAATTTAATACAATTATGAAAAATATTTTTTAGAAAGTGCAATATTAATATCGTTAAATTAATACATATTTCAGGTCATATACCTTGGTGGCATCAATTGGAAGGAAATCTTCTTTTGATCGTGATCGTTGCCGCGGTTGTCCTTATACTTGTGATAATCATCATCTGCGTGATCATCTTCATCGTTTGTCGACGCAAGCGAAACCAGATGAAATGTAAGTTGCACTTTATTTCCAACGTTATAATTGTCATTGTGATCTGTTGTTCACAACGTTTCGCATGACGTAGCCCATCCAATGGAATTTTCTTCAAGATTATGACATTTTACAAAATTATATAATGAAAAAAATTAAATATTTGTCGTATAAAAGATATAATAATTTTAAAGAGATATTTTTAATATTTCGTATTTAATTTAATTTTTCTTTATTTCCAAATTTTATAAATTATTATTATTAATTAGTTTTTGCTAAAATCTCGAAGAAATCCAAATTGTCATCACGATAGACGAACAATTCACATGCACACAGTAACATAATTTACATTAAGTACATCATCCTACGATAAATAAGCATTATATATATTGCTTGACAGTTGAATCAACAGCAATATTCGAAAAAATAATGATAAAAATTTACTAATTTTCGTTACAGATTGAAATCGTTATAGATTAAAATTATAATTAATAATTTTAACGAATTTTTCAATTGATTCATTTTTACTTTATCCAATAATTTTTCTTTCGTCATTTTCGAAAGAAAAATTATATATTTAATTTTTTTAAATTTTACAAAAATTTAATCAATTTTTACAATTTTTTCACAAAATTTTCACAATAAAAATTCATTGTTATAAAAATATTAAGAATTTATAGTTCGATCATATTTTAATTTTTAATTCAAACTTATTGAATCAACTTTATAAACAAACATGCGTTACACGTTTCGACAAAATTACACGGTCGGCAAATGTCGGCTGTAAAATTTACGAAACCAAGTCGTAACAATGCAATTTCATAATGACTATAGTCGATAATTACGAGGTAGCTTGTTGTTCCATTGTCAACATTGAAAAACTGCAAGCACGTAATGCATATTTGTCGTTTTAGACATTTCGTGAGAGGGGATGCATCTCATTGATCACTAGAACAGCTATTATCGAGATAATAAAATAAATGAGAAAAAAGAAGAAAGGCAAAGTCATAAAACTGTTATTTTGTTGCAATGCAACAATTTTTTATGCAAGATGGGCAATTTAAACGAGGACATATAAATATCTACGTTATTTATCGTTGTATAAAAAATGTCTTTACGAGAAAATTAAACTATTTGAAAAGATATATGTTCCTTTTCCTTTTTTCAATTTTTCTTTTTTTAAATGGAATAAATTTTGATATTCAAAAATTACAAACAATTCAATTTTACAGCAAGTGAATCACACAATATTTTTTTTTCCTATCAATTTTTATATTTTTTAATCCACAAATATATCAATATCTTATATGTTTATATTATTATATACATTTACATATACATATACATTATTATATACATTTTACAATATTTCTATTCTACTAAGTTATTACTAAATTTCTCTTTAAATGGTATAATTTCATCTTGAATAATTTCTTTCGTGTAACAGTAAATGAAATAGATGTTTAAGTACATCCCCATTTAAATTGGCCCATCCTGTATATACACACATCTACATTCAACAGATCATACGTTTCTCTTTATGTGACGAGATCTCGTTCCGCTGATATCCATTTCGCTCACTTTACTCGTTTTGTTTACGAACCGCTGTTCGATTTAACCAGAAAATAAAATGGAAAAAGAGTGTTCGAGATTCATAACAATCGCGTTCGCGCTCGATACGACGATATACTTACACGAGATATATATATATATATCGATGGAATGGAAACCGCGAAATATTTTCATTGTTTTCGACGACCACTCGACGACATTGCGGCAATATGAATCAGGTGCGAATAAACGTACGTTGCATGCGTTTGTTTGATTAACTTTTGGGAAAAAAAAAAACAGAGAAAATACTATATACATGTATAAAAAAGAACAGGAGGTAAGATTGATCGAGATTTTTTTTTTTCCCCCTCTCCTCCTGGCTTTTGTAACAATTTGAATTTGTTTGAACTCGTAGAGAATTGACGCGTAAGAGATTGAAGAATATTTGTCAATTATTCGGGAATATTTATTACGATTTTCGTTCGGATTTTCGTTCGTTATATAAAGTTGACATTGACTGCCCATCCCATACTGGCTGCGAATATTCGATTAAAATGCAAAATTATAACATGAAAGAAAGAAAGATTTAAAGTATCGAATTGTTCGATTGTTATAGGATATAAATATTTTTAATTATTGGTGTACAATTAATGGAACGAATGAGTTCAAAATGGATAATTTTATGGATAATAAATCCATCAATTTATTATTAAGATTTTTTAATAGGGAAAAGTAAAAGAAAATAGAAAATTAATAAAATTGGTTTAACATAGTGTAATATAATATAATTTTATATTCGATCGAATGATCGCTGCCAGATTTGAATAAATCATATGCACTGCATACATTATTTTGCGTTGTTATTATCGCATAGTTCATGCTAGTTACAGAAAACAAAGCATGTCTATTATGTTACGTAATCGTATAAGGTAGATGGACAATGCGAATTTCCCATTTGGATGCAAAGACAAGTGCATACGTGTATACAAATTATTTAAGTAGACGGGACCCATGCTGCGCCATACATAATCAACCTTGTTTCGAGGACATTTTTATACTTGTATGCACACTCAACATCTTCAGACGAGAAAGATTAATTTTGATCACTTTTTGATTACTATACAATCGTAATAAAAAAAAACCTGAGATATTTTTAAAAAAAAAATAATGAAAATATATATTTAAGAAATAATATATAGAAAAGCGAATAATTTTATTGATAATTTTATCATTTTCCTCTAATCTCTATCATTATATATCAAATTTGTTGTCGCACAAAAATTGAATTTTAAATTCCAAGGAATGAAAATGTCCTACAAGCTGTTCGATCCTCGAATCGAGAAACAAGAACTAATTCCCAAAGTATCACGACTCTTCGAACTCGATCTCCTCTGGGAAGTTAGTCAGCGTTAATTAAATTCACGGTAAAGTTCGAACCGGAAGGAGTATCTCTTGGTCGAACAAGGGAGCAACCCCGGCCCCTTTGGCGCAGCATGGGTCTCGTTCATCGGTAGTGTTTCACTAACACAGAAAAACTGATTCGTTTTCTGCTCTACTTTTTTTTAATTTGGACTTGCTAAACAAAACACAGACAGTAATCGGGTGGTCGAGCTGGAGGAACGTGAACAGTAAGTACGCAGCGCCATCTTAAACACTTCTCGCTTCGTATATTCCCTTTTGAGGCGAGTTAATACTTTTTGCACTTTGGACGTGAATGATTCACACATTGAATACCACCACTGTGTTGAGAAAATTAAAATCCTTGTTTAATAATTCGATTCTTTTCGTATTTTTTAAAATTTTTTAAAAAATATCATCGATGAACGAAGAGATAGCAAATCCATTTATTTCTAGATATTTTGGAATTCATTGATTCGAACTTGGTATATCAAAATGTCAGTTAAGGCTTGATTATTAAATTCCTTGTAACTTGACAGAATAAGCCTCGATCAAAATTTTTGTACATCAACTTTCGTTGTTCGATTTCTAGAATCAACCTTTCAAAAATCTATCACGAATATTAATATACAAATCATTCATCCATTTTTTTTTTTTTTTTTTTCATTTCGAACGAAACAAAGATAAAAAACACTTTTCCAGATGGATCATTCGCGATGCACATCCAATGTGTAAAATATAAATTCGCGCTTTTTCCCCTCTCGCATTTGTCTTCTTTCTCCTTCTTCTTATTCCTTTAACCACTGTCGTTGCCTTGGTACCATCACGCTCGTCTATCTTTTCGCCTTGCATACCTCTGTTATTTCGACAGGTTACCCTAATTTCCGCTTGGCGCTCGCTTCGCGTGATATTGTCGGAACGTGCGCTTCCGCTTTTCACCGGCAAGAAAACGTATTTTTCGCTTCGTGAAAACGGCTGAATGCGCAATCGCCTCGCTAATAATTCAGGTTGAATTTTCGCCACGGAGTATATATATAACCGCACACGTTACTTAGTGTGTACATACACGTATTTATTTTTTAATCCTGGATACTCGATACTGTTACACGGAATATCAACTCGACGTAGGTAAATCTCGTTATACGATTGATCGATGGAATTACTGGTTTCGCGTATCACCGGTTTAACAGGGGACACGGAATCACTGGAGGGAATCCTGTGGATTCTCGTTTCGATCAAGTGGAAGGATTTTTACTACGGTTGGGATTATGGTACTAGGAACGTAGAGGAATGAATATCATCTTGATGGTTTGAGTAAATGTAATTTTATGTTTTATTCTTGTTTGATTGTGTGTGATGGATGGTTTTGCATGTAAAAAAAAAAAAAAGTGGAAATGAGACAAATGGAAACTCTTGAACGAGATTTGATTGTTTGATCATAAAAATCTTTTTGAGAGAAATTATTTTTAATATTGTTTTTTTTTTTTTTGAAATGAAAAATGATAAAGAATTTTATGTATAATTAAAGAATAAAATTAATTATTTATTGATTTTTTAATACATACATATAGTATAGGTTATTCGAACAAAATTGTTAGAAAATTTAAAGAATGCTTATACCAGAGAATATTTATATAGAGTTATTTCATCATCACAATCAAATCAATTTCATAATCAGTTTCTATAATATAAATATTTAATTAATTTTTAATTATTAAAAACCCAAGAACAAATTCCTTAATATTCTTTTATTTTAAATCTCATAGAATCATCCCTTACATTTTCTACAAACTTCAAAGAAAGAACTTCAGAAACTCCAATTTTCACTCTATTTCTTCATAAATCGTTTATTTACCTACACATAACCTACAAGTTTCATACAATGCTACTCAAAACCTCGAAACACGTTTCATCGAATATCAGAAATATCGAAAGCTCTCCAATTCTCCGAATTTATCGAGAATTAACCAACTCGACTTCACCTTCTATCTCAATTATTCACAACTATCTAAACATACCAAATCTCTTTTAGCCCCCTCCTCATCGCTTAAATAGAATTTTTATAATTTTTAATATTACATCAACGAATACTACGAAACGCCATGACTTACCATCTATGTTGTAGTGTGGTAGTAGTGTGGTGCGTTGATGTAACTGTTACCTCCATGATATGTGTAGTGTGCACGAGATTGTCTCCGATCTCCAATCTCGCAGGAAGTCCTCTCGCCGCTTTCCACCACCCTCTTCTCTCCCCCTATCCTTCCTCCACGGCTGAATGCATGTCCTGTTGCATAATTTAGCGACCACTTCCGGCTTATAATAGTTTACTGTCGAAGTCTGCGTACGAGGTAAGATAGGTAAGGAGGGGTGCAAATGGACGAGGGTGGCGAAGTTCTTTGTTATTCGAAATGTAACACTGCCTATTGTGTGTATGTTCTTGTTGCATAATTTACGAACGATTAGTTACACTTCTGATCCTTCTCTTTATTCTTCATCGTGCTCTTGATTTCTTCTTTTCATATTCTCTTTCTCTATCTCTCTCTCTCTCTCTCTCTCTCTCTCTCTCTCTCTCTCTCTCTCTCTCTCTCTTTCTGATACAATGACGCGTACTCTATCCTCCATCCAGCCGCGGAGACACTTTCGGAAAGGTGAAAGGTAGGTGAAGGGTTGCATGCTCGATGAGTAGAAAGCTCTCTTATTGAGTTGGCTGTCGTTCAAATCGTGACCTGAAACGAAGAATCCTTTTGACTTGGCGAGAGAATTTTTCGGGACAAAACGTGCGCTCCCTAACGTCGAGTGAATGTTTAATTTTTCTTTTTTTTTTTTTTTTCTTGTGCTCGTTGATCGTGCTTCCGATATAAACAGGATTAAGGTAAAGAGATGTTTATTTTGGAGGGAAAATTCAGTTAAGGATCTCTGTGATTTTACTTGGGATTGTTTTATGATAAGATAGAAGTAGTAGAAAGGATTTTGTGATCAGATTATGGATATTTTTAGATTTTGAACATTAAATGTTGTGTATTTTGTTATTATATATTTGTAAAATGATTCTGTTAAAAACTAATTTTTTTAATATATATTTAATATGTTTTTATAAATAAATGTTTATGTGGTTTTTTTTCGTGGAATAGTTTTAAAGTAGATTTGAACAATTTAATGGCAGATATTAAAATATTTTTAATTTTTTCAAGAATTTTTCTTATGCAATATATCATAGTAGTACGAAATATATAAATTATGAAAGCAATAATCCTAAGCTTAATTTTTAAAATAGAATATCATTTGTAATAGGATTTTTCATTCTAAAAAGGATCATGTTTTAGTAATACCTTGAAAATTGTAATAATTGTACAATCCTTATAAAAATTACTTTGTATCAGTTTATTAGTCTCTTAAAAAGATTTAAAGAATAATTCTATTACGTTTATAGAAAAAAATTTGAATAAATTTTCTATAAAATGCTAATATTTTCAAATATATAATTAGGATTTCTTTAGGAAAGGACTGAAATTAAAAACCTCTCGTGAAATATGAACGATACAGTGATATCTTTCTTTAAATATTCTCGAAATACTTGACACTATTTTCCTATTATTTCTATCATCAAGTTGAATTCGATGTTCGATGTGGCTTTCCGACAGGAATAGTAGAAAATTAAAAAAAAAAAAAAAAGTGGACTGACATTTCATATAGCAACGCTTTTGATGAATTGCCAACGTTCACGCATATCCTATGCATATGCAATTCGTTATATAGAAGGGGAAAAGAGTCAAATTTTATTATCGACACTGTCACTATACTTCTAGATTTCCACTTATTAAACTTTGCATTTAAATATTTCCATTCTCACAATGATCTATATATTAAATCTGTTGACATTAAGTTATCAAAAAATAAATTTTTTTAATCTGTTCTTTATTGTATTTAATATATTATCCTTAAATTTGTCATTTTTAAGATATAAAAGAATCTTATAAGAATTTGCTTAAGAATTTCAATCCTTTGTATCGAATTCTCCATCACGATAGTAGTAGCTTCTAAGAGAATCATTTTACAAATAATAACAATATTATATTTAGTATACTAGTATATAATATCGAAATCACTAAAAAATTTTAAATTTATATTTTCGAATCTACATCACTCTCAAATATCTCTATTCTTATCCCTAAGAACTTATGTAATCAAATCAGTCTATCAAAGCATCAGAGGAGACCAGGGAATCCCTGCTCATATCTATGTGCATCGAACGTTTCGTTAATTAAGAAAAAAAAAAGGAAAAATTGATCAGATCAAAAGCGATTCCAGCATTGCAAAATGATTCTTCGGTTTCTTTCGTGAAATCGGACACAATGGGAGTGAAAAAAATATTTGGGAAATGCTTGAAACGGGTCAGAGCGATCGAGCGAAAGTTTAATTAAAAAGTTGGAAAAGAGAGGGCGTGCGAACGACGATAGATGACTTTGTGCAGAGGGGAAGCAATCAAAAGGATTCTTCGTTCTTTTTTTTTTCTTTTCTTTTCTTTTCTTTTTTTTTTTTTTTTTTTTTTTTCTTTATTATTATCTCTAACTCTTTTCTAAATGCTGTGTCCATATTGTAATCGCGTAATTCGAGTATCTTAGGAAAAGTTTCAAGGGGATTAACGAAGAAGCGACATCTCTGTGTCATTTTGAAACAATGGAGGAGGATGAAACAATATCGCTCCTCTTAATGAACGGATTTTGAAGGATTTAAACGTTTTATTTATTTTATCGATTTTGCAGATCGAGTCTCTTTTTATACCTTTTCGGATTTTGACGTTTTATAATTAAAATTATAATTTGTATAATGGGATTTATAGGGAAAAGGAATATAAGGACAAGAGAACAAAGGAAATTTAATAAGACGATATGAAAGTACATAAATAATCGTTGATACAGAGATTGTATCCTCATTTCGGTTAATTTTGGTAAATTGATCTTTTGAAGTGATAAATCACTATAATGTCGTATACAAGTGAAATTCATAACCACGATAATAGATTACCTGTCTGTAACCTGAATAATGTAACACTATAATCCTAACAATGCATTTCACCTCATTCAAACACGAAGTACATCTTCATTCCTAAACAAGTACCCTAATTGATCATCAATAGCACTATGATAAATTATTCGTAACTTTATCTCTCCATTTCCTTTAATCTTATTTTAAAGATAACAATTCTACTATATTTCAATTTTCAAAAATACTGCAATAATCGTTTTCAAAAGATTCAAAGATCCCTTTAAAAAGAAAAAACTTCCAATTTCCACAATCTTATATAAACATCAATCTCGAGATCCTTCCTCAACGAAACACTAGCCCAAAAATAAAGAGACTCGATCTACAAAACCCTGATCAAATCCCTAATCAAATATCGGGACACAGCATAAATTTTAAAGATCGAACGACGCGCGATCGCCTGTCATTGCCTGTCGTTTACCAAACGAAAAAAAAAAAAAAAAAAAAAAAAATGATGCAAACAGTCCAGACGGTGGGCCACCGAGTCCAACAGTGTCCTCCCACTCGACCCAAACGACGGTCCATCCAACTGCCGCGCCCAGGTGGCCACTGAAACCCGGTGTGCTGGTGCACATCAATCGAAGCCACAGCCTGCGATCAGGGCTGAGCGTACGCGCGAACGAGTCGCTTCGTAACGAGTTGATGGGCAGCCGGAACGAGCCGACTATGGCCGATCGTTTCATCGTCGAGACAACGATCGCGAAAGTCGGCGGGAGCGGGAAAATGTTTCGCAGGCGGAAGGAGGCGCCGCAGAGGAGGGTGACCGTGTCCGGTCTGCATGACGAGGGTATGCTTGCCAGGGCTAATAAAATTAAGGCGATGTTTGGAGTGCAGCTTAAAGAGCAGGCCACTTTGCCGGGAATTTCGAGAGAGAAGACAGGTGAGTTGAGGGAGAGCCGCCAGGGGGTGCCACACACTCCCTGCCCTGTAGTAGAAGGGAGCGACGATCGCTTTAATGTTGGCACGCCTCACGTTTCGACTCTTCCGCTCTTTTCACGTGTGTTTTTACGCGGTAATCAGCTCTCGACTCTCGACGGTTCGTCGAGAATTTTTATCCGTTCACTGTGTTTCCCGGGGTGAAAGGTTAACTTGATTACGAGGGAGGGAGGGAGGGTGGATAACTTGGTACACGAGGGGCAGGAGGGAATATAACGGGAGGAAAAATTAGGGAGTAAAATGTAAATTTAATACAAGAAGCTTACCGGAGGATAACCTTGGACCGAGAAATAAAGCTTTCTGTGCAAAGCGCGGTATGTTAACTTTGTGCTGCTAATTACTGGTAAGAGCGCCTGTCGTGGCTCGTTAATGCTCGTGGATAATTCTTTTTTATGTTTCATTTTTTCCCCCTCCTTTTTGTGTGTGCTTCTTTGTTCAATCGTGCTCGAGTTGATACAAGATCAACTTGTAATTTCATTTTTATTATAAGGTCGTCTATAGAGACGAGAATTAATACAGGATTTGTGGGATATAAAAAAAAAGTCAAAATAGTCAAGGAGAAAGAGTTTAAATTAAAGGAAAATTTAATAGATTATTTTGCAAATCTTAGTTTTTTTAAATGTATTCTATTGTTGATAATTTTAAATCATTAATATACACGTAAATACGAAAATTAAAAAAGAAAGAGTTAAATCAAAATGTTCATTATCATCTTAGAAAATTTTTTCGATGAAGAATCTATCGGAATTTTATTATTTGTTTTGATTTGTGCAATTTATTATAATGAAGAGACAAAAATGATATATTGATAACTTCTTCAGAGAAGGCTTAATTAGAAGAAAAGGAAGATAAAAAATAAGTAGAATTTTTAAGAAAATTTATCTTATTACCAAAGTAATATATATTTTTCAATCGAATTTAAAAAGTTTCATCGCTTCGGTATAAAATCTTGATTTATTAACCAAATGATCCGAGCCCCCTTAATTAAAAATACCGGTTGCTTGCAATTTTGCTGTATTCGACGAAGTGTATCGAATATTTGATAAGCTATGTTAAACACGATTGATGCTCGTTCGAACGAAAAGTCGTATAATGTTTGCACAATTTACCAACATTAAAAACGGTTCAGTCGATCTCCCTTCCTGGCTATGGATCCTCATCGAATCGACCATGATTTCTTGTTGGTCGTGTTACGGTTTCAATTACGTTAAACGATGGAAAAATTCGAATGGCCCGATTCGGCGCGAAACCCAAACGAATCACGCTCAACTGAATATTTTATTTCGTCGATAAATAACCTGGTCGAATTTTTCCATCGTTGGAAAATACGAGGAGAGCTTTATTTCCATGCGTACCTCCTTGTTTCTTCTTCTGCGTTGCACAATTAATGTTTATAAAAAGTAAAAGATCTTTTTACAAACACGTCTGCAGGTCTTTTTTTTTAAATTTGAGATAAACGTTGTATAGAATGTGATTGTCGATTCGATTGTAATTGAAGAAAGTAGGTTGATATAAAATAAAGGACGCATTAGTATAATATTATATATAAATAATTTTCTTCTAGAATTTTTTAAGGCAAGCATAAAATATTGAAAACATTTGAGATGAAAATAGATGTATTATTTTATTTAAATATATTATTATTAATAAAAAAAAATTAATAATAGGGAGAGTTGAATATTCCCTAATAATAGGGAAAGTATTAAATTGAAATATAAAAATGAATATCTGTTCTAAATTTTATAAAAGATGTATTGAATTATTCATGATTTAACTATATACATTATGATTAAATCTATATAAAATCTTTATTTAAAAATGCAGATGTGTTTTGAAAAAGATATTCCTACGCTTGAAAGAAGCTTTTTTAATCTTCAAATATGACTTAATTATCGGTATATTGCGCCATTTTTTAGCCATTTTTACGCTTACCAATCGTATAATTTTTCTGTAATTCGAGCTCGCGTGGCATTAAAAACCAAGGCACATAAAACGTAATTCTAGATTAAAGCTTCGCAGAAAAAGAAGGTAATGTCCCCTATGTGTAATTAGAACATTTAATGTTGTATCAGCATGTACATCAAACGCAGACGCCACTAGAGTAGAACGTGTACCTGTGTGCCATTTAAAGAATTAAATATATATATATATAATTCCCATAATAAAAAATTAAATATTCTCATAATATTTAAATTAATGCGGAAAATTAAAAATCTTAATTGAAATAATATTGTTTCATTTTTAACATTCATTTTTAATCCGTGATATGAATAATAATTTTTTTCATTAATTTTTATATTGCACTTTCATTGATTATACATGTTTCATATATAAGTTATTATTATTATTACCGTACGTTTTTCCTTCACGCTTAATTAAATATTCATTTAATTCGTTAATTATTCAAATATGAATAATACGAACAATAAATACAAAATTCATTTGGTCAATGATGAGAACCATTTATGAACCAATTATATCCGAGAGGAAAAAATACGCGAAAGGCTTGAGAGAAAAGTGGTATAAACAGTGAAACCAGTAATTTCTGCTTATTATGAATAAAATTAAACCAAAAATACATTAAAATACATTTTTATTGTATACTCGTAAAACTTATGAAAAGAAACGAATATCATATTGTTTAAAAATTAAAACATTTACAAAAGAAATTATTAGAAATTATTAATAAAAAATCTATATATATATATATATTTATCATTGAATTATTTATTTATTTATTGTTATATTTATTATTATAAATGATTCTCAGACAATCACTTTCAATGTAGTTTCTCAAAATATTAATAAAAGTTTCGAGAATTTTACACCATAAAGACATTTGAGAATAAATTTCTCAAGAGTTGTCATCGAAAGTTATTTTTCACAGAACACAGAGTTAAGACTGATTATATAAATATTATTAAAATATATTACACATTTTTAATTCTTTCAAAAAAATCATTCGTTACTACTTTTCCATCGAGCCTCTCGAGCAAACAATTAAAACAAATATGAAACAGCTAATTCTACCAAAAGATTTTTTTTTTTTTTTAATAACACGACCACGCAATAATACAATTCCTTTACGAATATCATGCCAGTCGCATGGAATAAAAATTGCTTCGTTGCATCAGTGTCACTGTCGTTGCTTGTTTTTTTTTTTTTTTCTTTCTTGTGTATGTTTTGTGTGTCCCCTTAGCCGTGACTTACAAAAGAATAGCGCCGCAGCGGAAGGTATTGCATGCGGAATCATCCCGCGAATTGAACCGAGCCAACGTCTCCCGTAAGCGAAAGAAACCAGGCGCAGGTACGTATATAAGAAATCGAGGAATGTGCTTCTAGACTCGTGATTCTAACAAAGATCTCTAACTGATTTTCTTCCCTTTAGTCGCCTTATCTTTGCGACTATCTATATTAAGACAAACTTTTTCCTTAACATGGAGTGTTGTTTCTATGTACAGGAAATATTAAAACGTGTAAAAAAGTGAAGTTGTGTAATAAAATTATTATAAATAAGTATAAATGAGTTATTACTATTCGTCAATGTTATTACGTGTCGTGGAAAGATGATCTGTATAAAGCAAACTTTTTCCTTAACGTGGAGTGTTTGTGCGTACAGGAAATATTAAAATGTGTAAAAAAAATGATTACAAATAAATGTCAATGAGCTATTACTATTTATCAATGTCGTTATCATGTCGTGAAAAGATGATATAGGCAAATTGAAAAATAGAAATTTGGAAAGTTGACGAATAATCATTGAAGTTGGTAAACAAGTGAAAAAGAATACTGTGAAATTTGAACTTGTATTTATTTGTTATCAAAGATTTATTAATAAGTATTTGTATGCCTTCTTTTTCTCGTATATCGTCTGCAGAATTGAAAAGATTTGTATTTCACTTTATATTGTAAATTGATGAAACGAGAATTAGATTTTGTATTTGAAAGTATATAGGGTGATTCTGAAAAACGAAATTATTTGAAAGTTTGACAAATTGGAAATAGAAAAAAAAAAAGAAAAATTGAAATTTCTTCGAAGTTTAAATTGATAATGAAAATATTTGTTTGATAAATAAAAAATTTGTAGGGATGAAAAAGAGTATGAATTTTAAACTTCCTCTTTCAATATTGTGAAATATTACTATCAAGTATCGATTTTTCAATATGTTAATAATTTAGATTCAAAAATAAAAAGAGATATTAGAAGATTGCATTTTTGTTTCTTTTTATAATTTTTATAATTAAAAAGCAGCATAATCCAAAAGGAACATGCGGAGAACATTAGGTGAGCCATGGAATATTTTTCTTCTGCTTGAAATATATTGTTGCGTGCATCTTCTCAATAATTTTCGAGCATGCAGCTGACATTGATTAAAGTGGAGTTATAAATTTAACATTGACAGAAGTAATTTTCTAAATAATTACGTGAAAAATATAAAAAGAAGATACGTGTCAAACCTTCTTTTCCTTTTCGTTATTTATAGACTATTTCAAAAGACTCTGTGATCAAAATGGCGTAGACTTGCTACTCCCTTCGTTACATTACATTTAAAAAGAATTTCAAATTATCATTATATTATTGAACTTATATACTACTTTATATTACTCACTTAATACAAATTTCCAATTTATCAATATTGCAAATTACATGCATACTATATTAACATAAATAATCCCTTAATAAAAATTTGAATTAAAAAATGAAGTAAAACTTTTTAAACTCCAATTTAGAAAAAATGTTAAACCTGTTATTTGTTATACGTAATTGATCTTGTAACAAGAATATACATTATATTCTTCATTAATATTATCAAAATATACGATCCACAAATTGTATTACAATTATCTATTACAATTACATCCATATAATTGAAAAAATAGCATTTCGTAAAAAGGAATTTTAGTTCGTTTCCAGAATCACACTCAAAATACAATTTTTTAACGATTCATTTCGATAATGGGATCGTTGATAACGTGGCAAACCACCGATGCAACCGAACGAGGAAATATTGTTTTAACGCACACCCTTTTCCATGCGACGGAACAACAATTTCTCGTACTCCCGTTTCGGTTTCAAAATATTTAGGTTAAGAAGAACGACACGACGATGTTTTCAGTCGATTCAGTCGAGGACGAGATCGAATCGAGGAACGAAATATATTGACATGAGAAAGGGATCGACGATTCAATCTCATTGTTGGCTCGTTATAAATCCTGTACGTATAAACATTCGCGTTCAAATAACACGCAACGCGTATACAAACGTATTTACAATACACGAGATGATTGTTATTCGCGCGATTAAAGGCTTGTGCCGGTTTTGCACAAGGCAAAAGCTGTGAAACGTTCTTAATTTAATTATCGAAAGGAGAAAAATGACGAAGGGATCATCGTATTTGACACCGCGTGTCAAACGATGATGAGGATTGTGGTTTGCGTTTTATATTTTCTTGGCAATCGATTATCGAGAAAAGTTTAGTATAATTAGTTGGAAAAGTGTTGAAAGGATATAATAACGTGTCAATTTTGAACCTTTGATGTCTAATTTTTGTAATTTTTATATACATGTCAAATAGAAACATTCATTTGTTAAATAAAAAGAATAAAATTATTATATAAAAAGAAAAAGTATTCTATTTTTGTATAATTCGATAAAAATTATTTGTACATTTTTTTAAATTATTATCACATCTTAAATAATGAGATACAATCTTTTTCACATACAAAACTGTGTATTATCTATCCCATAAAAATTATATATCAAGATTCAAAATTGACCATTTCCCACCACTCTTCTCGCGAAACTGAACTGCATGGATAAAATACAACTATTACAAAAGAATCTATACGATTCATATGTATTTAATCAAGACAAAATCCAACATCCCTTATTGCCCAAAGAAGACAAAGACCAATCAAGAATATATATTCTCCCGGTTACAATTTCCTTTATACATATATATATGTATATATACACTATTCTAGCGTTTGCAATTACACTTGAATATTTATCAAATCAATTCTCTCTGTCTGCCTTTACCCCGATGCACCCGAGATTTCCGTTTCCACTCTGAGAACAGTCCATAACATAGAAATCCTTCTTCGTGAAAGGACACGGTTTCTATCTTTCTCTGTCTCTCTATCTCTCTCTTTCTCTTTCCCTTTCTCTCTCATAGGTCTCTTGAGAATTGTCGACACGTCACGTGTCTCCGTTTAATTACGCAAAGTCATGTTTCGTTTGCGCTTACAGATCCCAATCAAGCTGCGAATAACAATCACGTGAACAGCGTGTCGGAGGGACTTCCGGAGTCCGGGGCGAAGACGTTTTACGAGAATTTGCCTTTCCACGGGATCCAATCACCGCCTAACAAGGTCAGTATCGAGAATCGATTTGTGCACGAGAATCTTAATTCATTGTTCGTTTTCGGCATGACGATCTTTCTTTCTTTCTTTCTTTCTTTCCTTCTTTTCTCTTTTCTCTTTATTTTTCTTCCGTTCTCTTGATCGACAATCGGCCATCTTGTTGGTAACGATGAGATGCAAATGTTTAATGGGATCATTTTTTATATTTTAGTAGTTTTTACTTAGCAGATGTATGGATTGAAAGTGCTCTTTGGTAGAGGCCATTCGAGGATTGAAGGATCTCGTAGCATTTTGAAACATTTTTGCGAAAAAATTAAGGAAATTGATGAAGGAAATTCTGATTTTTAGAGTTGAACATAGAATATTGGCCAAGGATAGCTTTCTATTAGCGAGAGTTAAAGATTATTGATTCTTTGTATTATTATTAAGTTTAGTATCAAAAATACTGCTGGTGAGTTTATTCTGCTTTCATGTTATGGAAGAGAATAATTTAATTTCTTCTGACAAGTTATATTCCTATAACGCTATCTGTAAAGAAAATTTATTTGCACAAAATAATAAAATTTATTTTTGTATATTCGTAACACGAAAATTGTCAAACTTCGATGAAATAAAACTGTGTTGGGAATACTTTTGCTTGCAAAAATCAAATTCAACAGTTTATAAAAAAAAAAAAAAAGAAAAAAGAATAAGGTCAAGAAAGTTACCGTGAAATAAAAATTCAACAGGGATGCTCGAAAGATTCCAAGAACAAGACAAACATTTTTATTCGCGCAAGGAATAAGAGAAGGAAAGGATAAATCTAATTCGGAGGGGGAAAACTGGCAAAAACTGGCGTGATAGAAAAATAAATAGTAAAAAGGCGTGATAAAACTGGGTCAAGAAAGTTACGAGTAGAATTAAACAAGAAAAAAAAAAAATTCCAAGAATTGTACGCGGGTGTATTTACTCTTACAATCCGGTTCGAGGACAAAAACAAGGGTAGAGGGGGGAGAGATACATGAAAAAAAGGGGGTCGAAAATATCAGGAACAACCGGCTATACTCGAGCGGCCCTCGACCGCGAAACGCGCGACCGAGGAAAGTCAGCGTGAAATAATCGCATTATAAAGGGATGGAGTGGAGTGCTGACCCTCTTTCCCAAACCCTGGGAGAACACCGGAAACACAGAGCTCAGAAGGAAACGCGATGTACTGCACTTTGTGCCCGGAAGAGTGGCTTCGAGCATCGGAGAAATCGTTGGAAATTGTTCACCGTTACTGATTTTCAACTTATACCTCTACCCAATTGTCCCTCTTGCGGAAAAGATTGGAAGCAATTTCTGCTGTTGAAAGAATACCAAGAGATTCGATTGAAATTGTTGGACGCGAGAAATTTAGAATTGTATCTGATATTTAACTGGTGGAAGAGAAATATGAACAAAGATAAATAATTTTAGTAGAAAGACTTTGATAAATTGTGTCATCACAATATTTTGAAGCTAATTAAATACACAGTAATTCGAATAGTATATTTTTTTAGTATATTTATATATCATTAAATATAATTTTATTTTCTTTATTTTATTAATGTCAATTTATTATTTGTCAAATAATAGAATAATATCATGGTGAATTATCGTTCTTCAGTCACAAACAAATGAAATTCTTATGAATCTTGGAATCAATTGAGAATAATTTATTTATCGTTTATGCTTGGATAGAATATTTACGTCGTATTTATTACTGGAAAATATTTTTGTTTGTCATTTCATGCTTCACGAAAGTTTTAAAGAAGCATTAACAACAGGAAGGAAATGAAATCGGTTTAATATCTCGGTTTACGTAAATATCTTAAGACGCGGCATTAAAAAATTCCGCTCGTGCCCCGATAGGACCAATAATTAAAAACCGAGCATAGCCGGCATATCCTCCATTAAAGCGGAACGAGCCAAGCGGAAGATTAAACGGGGAATAATTCAGCGGAGTCGCCAGCAGAGGGCAATTTTAATATTGTAACGTGGCAACATTCTGACCTTTCTCGATCCCCCCGAAACCCTTAAATTCCTCGCGTCGTTGCTCGTGTTAATACTTTAAACTGTCAACTCCGTGGCACGCAGTCGTTCACAACGAAAGTAAATCGACCAGCAACAGTCCAAGGTAGATCGATTTCACGTTTATTAAATAATAAACTCGAACGAGGTGTCGTCCGAACGAGCTAACGCCATCTGGAAACGTAGATACATATTTTAAGAACTCAGCTTATCGAAATATATTGTTAAGGATATCCTAAGAAAGAAATAGAATATCGTCAATACATTAATTATGTGTTAAATTTTGAGAGAAACAAATTCAATTTGTCCATTATAAAATTAATTAAAAAAGAAGTAGAATCTTACAATCGGAAGAAGAAAAAAGTATTTGGATTATAAAATCAAGAATTGATTATTATTCCAATAGATTATTCATTCCAAAAAAAGAAAAACCATCGCAAAATTCGCATTAAGATTCGTGCAGAATCTCAAGGACGAGGACAAAATCGCGCCAATGGTCTCCTCCACTCTTCGAGTCGTAAGTTCAGGGCGTCTGGTGCGACAAAGGTGGGGTTAATTCTCTCTTATTTAACCAAATGTCCCATTAATGGCCATATCGGAAGCACAGGAACGGTTCCTGTCCAAGGTAATTGAGCATGGGCAGGAGAGGAGGGCGCGAAGAGGCAAGAAGGGAGGAGGCAGTCGCCCCTTTGTCGAGTATCTTCTTCTCGATCCCAGAAGCTTTTACTTCTGCGCTCGTTCGATGATTCCATATTTCATCAACCCGCTCGACCGTCCACGACAGATTAACGCGTAAATTATCGATCGGTGGTTACATCACGCGTGCACAAATGTTTATTTATTTGAAAGCCAAGCAATACCCAGTTTTCCGACTTCGTGCTATGATAACGCTGATTATTATTTGCCTGGTCCAATTCGAACGCGATAATGAAATTGATGCGGGGTTATTTTAGGAAGGGAGAGGATAAAAATATTTAGAGAGAAGATTGAATATAAATACAGGGTGTTAATATGTTTGTCTAGGACATTTTTGGAGAATCGACAAATCGACGTGTAAATAATTTATAATTTAATAAATAATCGATTTGAAAATAATTTTAGATATTTATGTTTTTGTTTTTGCTCTGGAATTCATCAGAAATCGTACGAATATGTTTACATTCTGTAATGTATTATGAAATGTAATTGGACGAGTTTAAGGTAGTTTATTTTATCTAATTCAAATAGTTTTGAAGACATTTTGAAATTTTTTTCTTTTCAAATTAAGATTCAGATAAAATTTTCTATAGCTAGTTGCTTCTAACTCGTTTTGGTTTGCTAAACTATTAATTTATATCTGACATTTCAAGTAGAAATAAAATAAATAAAATGAAAAGAATTAAGAAAGAAAATGATTTCATAAGATTTGATTATGAATCATTTATTCGTGTTATTGAACACAAAATAAAAATTATTTTCAAAAATTGCACAAAATAATAATATTCATAAATAAATAATAGGATTATTCATAATTTATTATATTTCATAGTTGAATTACAACATGCAAGAAATTAAGCAAATATTCGGAATATTCTAAGCACCAATGTAGGTCACGTTGTGTCGAATGGAAATAAATGATTTAATATTTGATAGGGAAAAAGAAGCAAAGAAAATATTCAAAGAATAAAATCACTCTCGTTACACGAGAGATGAAAAATAGATAATCCGCATTTATCTACGCCTTCTCGAATATTTAATGGATTATAAAGGATTTGGGGATAAAAAATCGTATCGAGATCTCGTATGAGAGATGAAATGTTGAATTTTTCTCGATTCTTCGTTTGGATACAGCAATTCGTCCGACTTTCTTTTTCTTTTTCTTTTTCTTGAATTATGACACTATTTGCATTTAAAAGAAAAAACTTATTTTTCTTTCTATCCTTAAATTCTTAAGAAAATGTTATTTGTGAATTGTTATGATATCTTTTTATATATTGTTAAAAAGCAAATTGGATGAAATATTTTTAACAAGTAAAGTATAAGGACACAATGTAATAAATAATTCATTTTTATCCTTCACAAATTTATCTCTGTCAAAGAATTAAATGATCCGATAAATTCAATAAATTTTATTTATTAAATTATCAATCATTTAAATACAAAATATAAATTATTATAAATGTAAAAATTGATGGAAAAATTATCCTCCAGAATATTCGTCACATTTAACGTTACAATTATATTTGTAACAAATAAAAAAAAAACGTGTAAATACAGATTATAAGAACGAATGATTAATACTATATTGTGTGTACAGAAAATATGAATGTCAGAGCAAATTAACATACTAATTACCTCGAACGAAACGTTTCTGTAATTTATTGTATTTAAACGACTACTTTGTAATTATAACACCGGAACACCTATTCGATTTGTCATATTTAAAAGGTTTTATATTACGTGCTCGAATGTAATAATCTATGTATCTTTCGACACGGCCATATGAATTAGCAGTTTTAATGTAAAATCGATGGTATTTTAAAATCGAGCTGGAACAAGTCTTTCCTTTTTTTTAATTCCTCACGGCTCGAATCGTATTCGAAATTGATCATCTCAATCAGTCACTGCTCCGTTCAAAATTTCTACAAAATTCTACAAAATTTATTCAAATCGAGACACAGTCGTGAAACTATATTTTCCACAATGTAACAATGTTGATTGTAGAATTTAAATGAGAATCAAAAATGATTATACACTATATAAAAATATAATATTCTTAGTTAAGTTTATCCAAAATATTTAAAATTATACTAAAATCAATATCTCTATTGAACAATTTCGTTAAATACTTTTCCAATATAAAATAACATTTATATAAAATAATATAAAATTTATTACACGAAACATTGCAAACATTGTCAGTTTCGACAATGCAAATCATCCATTAATTGATTTTTTTCGATCGAAATTTATTCCAAAAGTGATTCAAGAATATTTTT